TGAGAGTCCATCAGTTTCAGTTACGACACTCGCTGTGATATCCGTTATTTCCCCAGATAATTGATTCACAAATCCCCAACTTCATCGGCATGATTATCACGAACCCCAGGGCGTGAAATGACCTGAAAATTCGTGGCTTTCGATTCAAATGAGTCCTCACGAATTCACCAACGCATCGCCCCTTGAGTTAACCATGAATGGAAAAGCTGATCGCTCTCACATTGAAGCCAACGGTGGCAGCAGAATCAGCGATGGATTTATCGCATGTTCATTCCCCGGCATTTGGCTCGTAAATGGCCCGTTGAAACTTTTCAAAATTCCATATTTCATCCAACTAAAATCAAGCCCACCTGTCACCCTTTATTTTTCACTTTCGAATGCCTTCAACCTCCTCAGCGTCTTATGGCAAATGATTTACGAGCACCTGAAAATCGATGGAATTACCAGGCGAATCGCTCCAGCTAGTCGCATTTACCATTGTGATTTACACTAACTGAATGGTAACTCAACTGCAGTTACAATTGTTACGCTTGCTTGATGACAGTTCTCCTAGAGATGATGTACGATTTATGTTGAATTTCCAGTGGAGCAGTTCAACCCACCATGAAATTCTGTCCAACATCTGGGAGATGTCACGCTGAGTGCATCTCAAGTGGAACTCTTTCTCAAGCCAGAATGGAAAACAATTTTCATTTTATTGCGATGAAAAACACGAGCTGATGCTTCAGACGTAGATGATACCGAAATTCGCAACATCTGGGACTCGAAAAACATGCGGACCTCATGCCTGCATTTTCCACTCCATTTACATTCCTATTGTTTTATGGACGTGATGGAGAACGATCACCTGATCCCGTACAACGCCCGTTAATGATGCTTCCAAGCTAACATAAATTTACGATAATGATACACAGCGCGTCGTCATCAATTTCTGAATGTTGGAAAATAGGCAACAGGTCGAGATTCAACAGGTCGAGATTCACTCCGGTTCATGCACCTGAAATTTTCTTTCTCTCAACGGGCTCAGGAGTAAATTCATTTCTTCCGTCATTTCCACTTTAAAATCATCATGAAGTAACTATATCTCTCTCTGACCCATTCGAATATTGAAGTTAAACAAAAGTGTAGCCGTAATCAATTCGAAATCACAGCCAACTTGTTCAGCGGAATATTACTCAATTTTTCGATGGGAAATCTTTCGTTAATTCAATCAGAGTTTTCGTACCACTCATCCAGGGGTCAATAGTTGCACCAGTTGCTGCAATTCTCCTATCTTGTGTACTCTGATCATTCCGCAAAATTGAATTTGTTCACTAGTTCGATGTGGGGCTTCTTCGAGAATGAGCGTACACTTCCGGATAGACGACCGGTACCAGATCAATCCTCGTGATCGGGTTAGATAGAATTGGAGGATGAAAAAAGAGATGGACGAGGTAGCGGGAGATGGGTCCATCGTAATCCAGACCAGCTTCACATCTCTGATGATGAAGTCGATTTTTTTATTCGACCTTACAACTATATCTACCCATACTATCTACCGTGGGGGACGGGGTGATCCTCGAATGTGACTGAATTTTTCCCCAAAATCGATGTGGACTATCGGGAAAAGCTCAACTCGTACACACGCGACTCCATCTATCGCATTGGCTGCTCTTGGAAACTATGATGGGTGGAAAAAGAAAACGTCAGGCATGAGGAATAATATTTTTCTCCACACGAGAGATGGCAAATCCGATTTTACCGCATTTTATCTACATCTTTTGCGCTAAATTTATTTGGCTGGATGATATTAACAGGAAAATGTGATACTAGTTTGTCACGATTTTATGAAGATCTGGTGTTCACTGTTGTGGAGCTTATACTCGAGTTTCGAATCGCGGACAACTGAATTTCGATTCGATAATCTGCGGATTTTGTCGTCATTCAGGCGACTGCTTACGGTGCATTGGAGCCGTTAATCGAGTGGCAGTTATTGCTTGGGAAGGAACCGATACGATCAAGCCGATTGGTTAACTCTTCTGCCCAATTCGATTTCCATTTCTTCTTGAGCAACGGAATTTTTTTCAATTTTCGTTGAAAAAAAAAAGCAGTAATTTGTAAAACATTAAATAGAATTATTTCAAGAACAAAAATGCACTTTAATAGGACAATTTAATTCAGCCATAATGTAATTGGTACTTCTAGACTCTGAAGCATGTGAATTTGCCGCGCTCGTTACCAAAATTAAGACATTAAATGGGGCAGTTGAAAGTCCAAGCACTAAAATTCCAGTCGAGTCCTCGTTGTGACTAACAATAAGGTAGTTTCCCGCTTCATGCTCGTTCCTGCGATACAGAAGTAGGTCCAGGCATTGTGCAAACGTTCCTGTCGGGAAAGAGAATCAGGAGGGGTCGGCTAGTGGCAAAGCATTCTCAGTCAATGACGGTGGTGTGCTAACTTCATTTAACTGATGGAGAACGATCGGAAGCTATTGCAGAGGCGGTGTGAAGGCTTTCCTCGTATTAGGCCGATGGGTCACGAATTCTGTTTGCACATTCTCATCTTACGGCACGCCAACGTGACCCTATTCGTATCGAGGGTAAACGACTGCCAATGGGTTGGTATTGGCGGCATGCACGAGACGGTGGGTGCGGAGGAATGGTGAACACGTTTCGTGCATTATTGCAGTGAATAAAAAAAAATAAGCGGTCGATCGTAGCGCCATTAAAGTGACCGGGCGTAATAATTGGTTGATATTAACAAGTGGTACTGATTTATATTAGCAAAAAATGTCAGCCATTCTTCATCGAAATAATTGCAAATGAAATGGATCGACCAAATTATCGTTCCAGCCGATCCTCAAGCAAACACTATCAATTGCTAAATGAAGTAATTCCCTGAAACACAGAATGTATCCGAGCGTAAAGTCCATTGTTATGTATCTATTTCCCCCGCATTCATTCCGACCCGATGCCACCATCCAATTGATTCAGTGCGAACCTCTGCACTTTAGTCAAATCAGCAATAACTTGACTACCGAGTGCACCTTCTCAAGTTGCCCTACTCACTCTGTATTTCTCCTTCCGTCTTCCTCAACCTCCGCTGTTGCAGGTCAACGAACAATTTCGAGAGGTAACATGGAAAATCGATAATGATAATCCAGGGGTCCAGGGCAGGTAGACGCTACTGCTCGAAGCCTTGCGATATGAAATTGAGGGGGAAAAAACCAGGAAAATACATAATGATATAATGGACCCTGTCTTGTCAGTAATAGAGGCAAAGTTGAACAATCAAATTTTGATACGAATTCTAAATGGAACACTCTCAGCCATTACTTCAAAATGTCAATCAGATACTTTAATGGTCTTGTCAGAATTTACTCATGAAATTTTAGTAGACGACAAAGTTATTAACGAGAGAACTGCCGAGTCTCGTCTCCTGAAGCGAATGTAAAATTCATATTCTGAATGTGAAATTATCGACAAAACTCATCCGATGAAATTTAAATTCATTTCATCACTCTAAAGAGGTATAACTCCAACAGGAACGACTGAACTAAAGTTTATTTGGCATTGTCTCACCAACTGGGACAAGAATTTTCCAGATTAGCCCGACACTGTATGCTCAGGAGAATAGGAATCAAATCAAGACATTAAATTTGATTCTCATCTCTAGAGCAAACACGTGTATAATAGTGTTATACTCTGCATGAACTACGTGTTTTAAAATCGGCAGCACCTGTTTTCGGAATTCAGTCAGCCTCGCAACAAATGGAAATTGGTTTCCACGGGTAACAGGCACAAGCTTTGGTAATGGAATGTATTCCCATCGTCCCTCTGGTTTCCCTATCCGCATACAACCGCACGCTTAACGACCGACAAACCTTGGAAGATCAAGGACAATAATCGTTGTGTACGTTTTAATTTAGAATGTTGAGTCTCAAGAAAATGTTGGAACAGAAAACAGCAATTTCCTGTGGGAACATTCACTGCCGATATTTTCTCCCTTTAAAACTCTCCTTTTATTTTTATTTATCCGTCGATATACATCTGTCCTCATTTGCGGTTTGAAATCTCGGGAAAACTGAAAACATTAACATAAAATTGAGCGAGCGACGTTCACGTTCTTTTTTACCACAAGCGCCGATTCAAGCTCCCGACGATTCTGAAAATGCTGACGTTTCTGGTCATGACAATGAAAGAAAACAGATAACCACGATTATTCCTCCAATGCGCTGCATTCCCTTAAAGTTGGATGCATTAGCGTCTGGATAAATCGGCATTAACCTTCAGAATATACTCTGCGAGGGAATGAACGTGTCAATTTAAATTAGAGAGCCGTCTGCAGGCATCCGAATATCCCAAATGGGGTTTCACAACATACGTCTAATAGTGACTCCATTGCCCCAGATGATTCTCCTTGACTGAGCTATTTACCGCCGATATCAGGACAAAAAATCTTATTACATTTCCCGCATCAGGCAGTACTTCGGTAGGTTTAATATTGTCTCAAGAGGGCGAGAGGAGTCAATCGTCAAACGTCTGAGGGTAGTAAACTTTACGATATTGGAGGACAAAGAAAAGCTTCTTCTCGCTGGTGAGGTGTGGGAAGAGAGACAACAGAGAGGAAAGTTTATGAGGGGGAATTATCGTTACTTTTTGTTAGTCTATGACAAGAAGGGAGCAAAACATTCGGAATATCCACCAATTGTGCTCAGCTGTCCTGACACGCACCATTGGCTTCCTATCACTCCTGTTGAGGACAAGACCTGGATATAAATCGCTCACGAAGTCAAATAACTAAGGGGACGACTCTCTTTTTTGCAAACTTTTAGGCTTTCGTTACAGAAATTTCCTGACATCTAATCTACAGTTTTCTCCTGGATATAATATCGCGATTTATCGACGAGGATCAATTTCCCCGGTTGAATAAATCATCGGTGTCTGTAATATGTGAAGAACTACACGCAATCGGTATTAAATCAGCTGATTGGACGGGGCACTGCCAAATAATGAACTTACCGATCAATGGAGATGGCCATGAGAGTGAAAACACTTGCGCAGATGGTGAGTACAGCGATAAACTGGCTGATCTTGCAGTATAAATTGCCAAATGTCCAATGGCTATTCAGCATGTACGAATAATTGAATGTAACATTGAGTGTGGAGACCATGGCATCAGCTATACTCAGATTCACCAGAAAATAATTGGTAACAGTTCGCATTCTCTTGTGCGCCAAAACAATCCAGATGACAATGAGATTGCCACCAGTTGCAACGGTGATCATACCCACGAACAAAACAGTCCAGATCATTTGACGCCACCATGGTAGAATAAACTGATTGCCATCGGTGTCTGTCGCATTTGTGTCGTTATGGTAATACGATGTCGATATGTCGGGCCAAATAGTTGAGTTGAACGGATACTCCGTTGGATAGTAAATGTCCTCGAGCGACGGCATCACGCTCTCCCAATTTATTATTTAAGTGGTCTTGAATAACGTGTTATATCTTTTCCAAATTCGGGTTCTTCTGGAATTTTGTTTAACTACTTGGTGGGGCAACAGCCCCAAATACATTCTGTTATTTACATAGTCACGCTATGATGGTTATCGTTGTCTTGGAATTTTCGTTAAGGTGAGATACTATCTGGGTCAATAGATGCCATTTAACTAGCCACATGAATTTCCCCCTAATTACACTGCTCATCGAATTTATTATGCCGTACTCGGGCTATCGATTGCAGGTTACTCTCTGCTTTCCACGGTAGAGCGATTACACGAAGCTCGGCTGGTTCCTTCCCGCAGGACTGACTGCATCAATTCCCACAATGTCTCAACACCTGTGCTCCATTACAGCAAATGTAACCTCTCCACACGCTCTTTGATAATTTCTTTGGAACCATTGAAGTGTGATTAATCTGAAGTTACAGTTGGAGTTTTGAAAGCTTGTAGTAGACTCAGAGCAGTGGAAACTGTGGAATTGCTCGAGCAAACTCACAAGCTTCAAAGTTTAGCCAATCTTCAATCAGTTAGTTCTATCACTCACGATTTTTTTATCAAACTGATGTGCCTGAAGGGTATAGGGGGCCAATCTCAAGTGCCTGCGGGTCTTCACCAATTCTCTTTATGTCATTCTATTCTCGCCACCAAGTTTTTGCGTCGTCTTCAGATACGCCGAGCTCTTCATATCTAGACCCGATGTGTCGTTACGTTCTATTCAATGCTTTCAGCCGCAGAATTCTAGTTGTGTTCGTTCCGGGCTGTTTGCTATCGTTTTTTCGAGCTTTTTTTCGGTGTTGTTCGCTAGTAATCCGAGATTGAAACCGCAGGTTCATATCGAGAAATTTTTCTCATTTCCAATGCTGTCTGTATGTTTTTCTCCGTCCAGCATGTGTTTTTTTTCCATTCGGTTGGCTTTTTCCTTTTGCTTCGTTTGTTCGTCACTAGGTTTTTCCCGAGTTTTATTCTGACGCTCTTTTGTCGCTTATTTTTTCCAGCCTCAGGCCGTTTCCCGCCTGCTAACGATACGCCCGCATCCTCCTGGAAGCAAAAGAACATTTTTTTGGTCTTATTCTATTTGTCAAAATTCTGGCTCCACGGCCTGTGGATGTTTGAATGATGCAATTTACCCGTTACTGTGATTTAATTGAGACTGGAAGGCAAAAAATTATTCATAACACGTGTCGGGACTTCAGTGGCAGGTTATTGAAACAGTTAATATTTATTTTCACGTGAAATTTCGCAATTCTCTGAATAACTCCCGGAAATTAATATCAACTTGAAAACAATTATAAATTGTGCAGGGTAAAATCCACAGAAATTTATTACTGCTCCCAGCGCAGGTGTAATTTTTTCAGAATTAAAGTTGTGGAGAAATTGATTAAATATCTGACCCTTCAATTAGAGTAGTTCTGCTATTTAAATGAGTAATTTTATGGTCCATGCGTCAATGCAATTTCTGTTATCCTCGATCCAATTATGAATTTGATTTAAAAATCTTATGAGTGAACTGCGCATGAAAAGTCGTTGCCGCTGGGCAAAATCAAATTTCGTTAATAGTTAAAATCGATCAATCGGGGAGTGTGGGCGTTTGTTCGATTGAGTATATATTGAACGTGGAGCCCTCGGGTGAAGCTTTATAGAAGGGATTCGGATGAATCGTGATTTTCGGGTTTATGTAGTCAATGCTAGACCCCTCACCAAGAATAAAGGATTTAATTAAGGAGAGTGCTCACATCGATGGCAAATTACTGATGCAGATTTGTGTGGGGCTTCAAAGGAGGTGCCTAATTCCAGAGGTTCTCCTCTTGTTAATAATTTTCTGGATTTAATTTTTCGAGTATCGCGGAAATAATTGGAGCGGAGAATTTTTTTTCTTTCAATTTAGACTGAATTCTCTGCTTTTTAAATGACGTCACTCTCAACCTTGAACGCCATCTAATGCCCGAATGGGAGGAATTGTTCTTAGATTCAGAACAATATAGTCTGTCCGCGGAGCAGGGGCAAGTGTTTGATTATGAGAGGGGAAGAGTCCGAGGAATTCAATTACATGGACGAGCCCTTCTAAAGGGTAGAAATGAGAGGAGAGAATGTACGATCGACATTTTGGGCGGCTCACAGGCAAGTCTGATTGAGAAAATTCTACCTTGCCCATTCGCGGTTCATTCGTAATTTGATTGAATTCACGTTGTTTGTGAACCAGTGGCCAATATCAGCAGGCAGGACGAGCTTTAGAGGTGACGATAAGAGCGATAGGTGGGAAAAATTGAAGCATTTTTGGAGGGTGATTGATACTCGGCTCCCACGGTTTGAGGTATTTATTCGAGAACAGAGATAAAAATTTTGGATTTCTGCGGAACGGGTTCTCCCTCTGTTGCATTTATTCTATGAATGGGGAAGGGTGTTTCCCTTGTGACGATAATGGAGGAGCATTCTTTAAATATTTCGGAGGAAATATGTCAGTGGCTCAACGCGCGAAACAGAAAATTTTTCTCAGTAAAAAAAATTGGTGAAAAAAATGATAATCATGTAAAGAAATGCATTGTCAGATTGGTCCCATGGATTTCTTCCCCCACTACTTCTAGCAATTCCCATCTCTGTATCTCGTGAATAGTCCCGTGCCCGCTGCCCGGAATTTGCACCGCAGCTCAACGAGAAAATTATGCGAGAATGCAAAAGCACCAGAGAGCACCCAGAGGAATTGTATACTCCATTTCTCTCTCTCCCTCTCTGTATTTCCCCGGGAAATGTATGTACTGAGACAGAAAGTGGATGAGCGTGAAGAGTTGCCTTTTGCGGTCTCCGGGACATGCATATACATTTACAGATGCTAAAGTGTGTGATCCACACATGTACGCAAGATTGCCATCACCGGGAGGGTAGGAAAGGAATAAAGAGAACTGGGAAAAGGAGAGGGAAAAAAAGAGCAGGACCGAGGGAAAAGAGAAGAAAGTGGAACGAAAATATGTGCGGTCGGGCCAACCACTTCCTGAAATGAGAATTCGATTAAAACTGCTTTTATCATAGTTGGCCCGTTTCTCATGGTCAATGGAAGAAAATGCTTTTCAGGGTAGTGAAAATGCAATTTTTCAAGTGGAAATCACGTGTGGTGGATCAATTGTGACGTTTTTTAATGTTTCCGCATTCATTTTGGTGGATTATTCCGCTGGGGAAATAGAAGGAATCCTCCGGAATTTATCTCTCATCACAGATATGCATGACTAACCCGTAGAAATACTTTTGAATATATTCCGCCCTCGAAACAGTTGGAACTTTCAGGTTCTTTTGGACTCCGAGGAATTCGTTTGCTCGCCACCCCTTCTGCATCAATTACCCCGTCTCTTGTGTAATTGTAGGAGACATCTAAGGTCCACGGATATAACACTCAGTGCTTTGATGTTGTGAAAAGATAACACGGAAATGAAGGAGGAAAATGGAGAGTTGAGTGTCTAGTAATTAATGGTGAAAATCGAACTTCTGAACTTTTATGGAGTGAGATGAGCTTTCAAGTTTGGAGAGAAGTTGTGGGGTATCACTAAGAATTTAATCTCCAAACACAAATTTTAATCCAGTTGGGAATAAAAAAAGATGAGGTAAAAATAAATTTCACATTAAATTTAAAAGAAGCAGAAAGAAGAATCTCAAGTGAAGAATTTTTTAGATCTCTTTCTCGCGAAGAATTCTTCTGCAGAATAAATTCTCACAAAGAGGAATCTATTGATCCTATAATAGCCAATTTCTCATTATCAATAGATACAAGAGATTATTGAACCACCTGAAGCCAATGAAAAGACGTCATTTCCTTCCCCATGAGCCTCACAGAATTTCCCCCGCAAGTAGTTTCAGATATTTACAAATAAGCGAACAGTAGACTGGGAAATATCGAGTGCGGAGTGGAGAATCTTCGAAAACCCTCCAGCCATTGTTAGATACGTCGGATTCATATGAATAGGCTCCTTGCATTGGCTCGAGCAGAATCGACAAGTAGGGAAAGACCGATATGAGAAAGACTGACACAGTGCTCCCAAGGGAGGGCTTTGAATGAACAGAATTTGACTCAGGAATGGGGAGAGGAAATGGTGGCGGTATGTGAGTAGCAGGATATAAACTCATTCCCATATTTTTTCGACTTCAGCATAACAATAAAAAAAGAATCGCGAAAATCTAAAATGACAAATGTCCCACTAATTTCTAAATAATTCCCCGGGAATATTGTTCACCACTGTTATTGTTTATTATCACGCTTCGAACTTTTAAATCACTTTTTTTCCTCTGAAAAAATTTTTACTCACATAAATTCAACCCCTCGCCCATCGTCGCAATCATCTTTCGAATTCAGCGCATTATGTTTTACGAGCTCCGTAACTCCCCGCCCTTTTGATCTCTGTAAACCGCCCTCCAGACGTACCTCAATCCTCTCTTTAAACGCATATGATCCTAGGGACCATTAGGTTACCTTTCTTACCCCCAAGGAATTACCACCAACCGCCTGAAGAAGCTCTCGTAACCCCTTGCAGGCCAATGCAGTAAAAAATTCTATTTCAAACAGTGCACTTCCCCCTTCCCTCGTCCTTCGCGTGCTGTTCTGCAGCGTTTGCGTTTTCATTGTTTTTCCGCACAGTTACGTATAGGTGTGGGTCCAGTTTTCCTCTGGCACATGGGCACCGGGCGAAATTTATTCCATCCGGCACCAGACCAACCTCGTGAGAACGAGTTATCGCCGTCTCGAGAGCCGAGAGGGAGTAACCACAGACCATTGAAGTCACTGTTGGGGGTGTGGAGAGAAAAAATGGCTTGCCAAATGTCTTGGATCACAGTTTTCAAACATCATCTCTTCTAGATGCTGAAACTTATTTTTTTTATTATTTTTGAAGTTTTCGGTTCATGTTCACGAAGATAAACTGCGGTTAAAGGGTCATCGGAGACGACCCCCGGGGGCAATTCTCTCACCTGAAGATGATCGATCCCCTGGCCGTCGTCATCCGTCACGAAAATATGATAAACTTTATTTGGTTGTTTCGCCCGAGACGGGAGGAATAAAGAGATACAGACGGTTCAGCCCCGGCGCCGGTTTGATGGGTTACACTTAGCGAGGGAAATAATTTTCTTATGCAACTTTACCTCAACTCGCACATGGTAAAGGATGAACTCCATGGAAACATGTATGAGGTTTCTGAAACTATTATGACGTAAGTTATAGAACATTAGGTTTGAGTAGGGTTATAAACTGATGATGAAACCGTTGGGAATTAGTAGATACACTTATTTTTAGTGAGCCGTGATGGGGGAATATGTAATTTTACGTGTTTTCCAGCCTCAATTTTACGGAATAGACAGTTTTCCCGGTACATTGACGATCTTCGGATTTATCGGCCGTGACGAATCGAAGGAAGCATGAAATTGGAGAGAATTGTAGGCACATCACGTAGAGAAAAAGTTGGGTCCAAAAATATTGAATTAATTCTGGAGTAGAGATGCCATTGAAACCGCTGGATTTTACCAGTGAATTATCTCTCTATATAAATAAAAAAATAAGGCGAAAAATTCAGGGGATACTCAAGTTCAGGGGACGCTTAAATTCAGGGGACGTTGGGTGCCTATACGAGGAGGTGCGTGTATTTATAAGGGATGTCTATATGAGGGGGTGGTCATAAAGGGGATATCGATATTTATGGAGGATTACTATATTAGGGGGTGCTCATATGGAAGATGTTTATGGGTACGGTCACACCGCTGCGGTCACACGGACGGGGGGGGGCGAGCGAAGCGAGCGGGGGGGGCAAAGCCCCCCCC